AAAAACGACGATTTAATATTGAAAAAACATATTATTACAATATATTAGTCAGAAAAAATTTGAAGTTTTAAACTGGTAGGCGCGACATTAGACCTGTGTTGCCAAGAAAACCTTTGAAGTAATCAAATATCTGCCAATTTAATTCTGGGATTGGGTTAAAAAAATAGCAAAGTTCAAAAATGGACATTTCTGATTCAATTCTGAAACAGTAGCCAATTTTCTTCCATTTGAAAATGCTGAGTTATATACAGGTCAAGCATTTCGAAAATCATCTGCTACACTTTTAGTTGAATCTGGAGAAGAATTGATGACACTAAAGAAACATAGTGGTTGGAAGTCATCAACGGTCGCTGAAGGGTATGTTGATGAATCAGTGGCGCATAGGACAGAAATTAGCTGAAATAAGACCCAATTTGCAACCAGGACCACCAACGACAGTTGTGTCCATGGAAGAAAATATGATTTCAACTCAAGAAAGTTCCACTGTAGCCGACATTTCCAATCGTTCGAGGAACATGTCCTTCATGCAGCGCACATTTAACAACTACATTTTACATTAAGAAAATGTTAGTTTTCTATAACAAAATATTCTAAAATTAAATATCTCTGGGTTCTTATATCCAGGCAAAAAGTAGATATTCATTTTTTTCCCGGGGAAAAAGTAATTTCATAAAAAGCAACATTTTGTTACCTGTCAAGAGAGATAAAATGTAAAATTTTTTCCCGTCACAGAAAAAAATAGATTTTTTTAATTAGAAATACAATTTATTATATTTTTGTTAAATAATTCTCTGATTGTAATAATTTTTCAATTTTTCTATGTAGCCTGGTAATTCAGCAATTTGAAATCTTTTATTGCTTAATTTTTCTTAAAATTGATCCGATAAAATATGCTTTTACTGTAGGCAGGAACTAAGACAAAACCAACAACACTTTTATTTTTATCTTGTACACATAAAAATACTGCCTATTCATCCAAACATCATTATTTTTTTTTCAGATTAACTCCCAGAAATTTTGATGTGAATAAAAGATAAGTATATTGACTTCAAGTTTTTAAAGAAAATAATTTCTAGCTACCACAAAATACAGTAAAAAAATGTAGTAGGTAATTAATTGTAGGAGTGTTTAAATTAAACAATAAAATCGTAACCCACATATGAATATATTATGTACTTAAATCGCGTTTATACTATCGCTAATGTTTTTGCTTGTGCAGAAGGTTACGACCTTAGGACGATAAATACTTGAATGGTCCATTTTAAATGAAACAATTCCATTTAACATACTGCACTCTGTACTCTGTGTTCCTGTTAATGTCATTTGATCACATGATCAACGGCCTCAATAAAGCTGTTAAAATCATATTTATAGATGCAGGATCGTTTATTTGTAGGCAACGGCATTTATTGTATAAAGTAGGAGTTTTGAGAAGGTTATTTTTAAAAATACACCATAATTTGTGGTGCAAGTGAAATAAAATTTTAACAAGGCAAAACATGCTTGCGACACAAAATGAAATGTTGAGTTAAGAAAAGATTTCTTGGAATGAACAAATTTAAAGATACCTACTATACGTTTGGTTCTTTTACTAGCTAAATACGCAATTTCATTTAGGTGTTATACAGAAGAATTTACTTATATCTGTTTTTTCTCAGTGCATTTACACATATATTTATGTAAGAAAATCTTTTATTTCATTTCATCTTTCTTTTCATTTTTGAAAAAATTTCATTATGTTTTGACGATGACCGTATTCATTTCTCACTTTCACACACGCCAAAATACACTTTTCGTATAAGCCAAAACATAAGGCGTAGCAAGAAACCTAATTTTAAATTCTACAGGACAACGCTTTGTTTGCAAGGTCATAAGAACAAAATAAATACAAATAATTCACGTATAAAATCAGAAATAACTTGATTCTGATTTGTATTATAACTAGAAAGCAATGCATAAATTTTAGTTTTGCAACTTTCAGTGATTATTTTTGGACCTATACTATATCATTAGTCTGTTTGGCTACCTTCGACCAAATTTATAAGGACGCAATAAATAGACCTTGACATTTCTTTGTAATGCTAATTTGCAATATGCCTACCTGACTTAAAATGGCTATTATACGACTACTGCATAGACTTTATTGATAAAATTATTCCTGCAGAATATAATTTTTCATATTCAAAAATTTCAAGTTTGCCCTAAATTAACAACTGTGCAATTGTGCTTTTCTAATGTTTTTATTGCGATAAACAGTAGAAAAAGATTAAAAATTGTAGGAAAGTGACGTCACCATCTTACGGCTGCAGTATGCAATCAACAAACAAGGACAAAGTAATGTCCAATCGTCCGAATCAACTGCGAGTAATATATATTTTTTCCCCATTTGATTGGTCTTACTAGGGGGGAATTAAATATAAAATAAAAGCCAACTCTTGCTACTGTATTATTCTTTTGTCAAATTTTTTAGATATTTTCCAAAAAAGACTGGTCGATATTCTTTCATAGCTCATCAGTTTTTTTAAAGGAGGATTTTAAAAGAAATATATGGACATTTTTATTCCCACAAAAATGGTAAGTAGTATTGTATATATATTTCATGTTGAGGTTCAAATATTCAAACCTATTTGGCTCTTAGCAATTGAATCGTTATCACCCAGTATAGATATTATTCATTATTTTTACTGATAGGCTTATCTTCTAAAATATTATTTTAATTCCCATTATGGTTTTCAAAATTATCACTAATTTTTAAAACGTTAACTACTTTCAATCGATGTTAATTTTCAATTATTAATCAGCCAAATCAATCTTCCAATACATGTAGGAAACGTCGAGTTTGATACCATTTCAAAAACAATTTAGTTTGATATTACAACATCAATGCGTGTTTTCCTACGTACTAACAACCTTTCCTATTTTACTGCTTGCAAAAAAAACATGGGCAAAGTGAAGGTCAAGATCAAGTTAGACTATTGCTTCCAATACGGTAAATTTATTTTGTAGTCGCGAGCATTGAAGGCGATCTATTTTAAAAGTAATAGGTAGGACGGAACGTGTCTTATATCATCATCATCAAGTCGATGAAAGTGCCAATTATCTACTGTGACTACTGTGATTTACTGAGAAACCCATTGGTTTAAGTAAAAATTGGTCTTCCTTGAAAGAACACAAATATATCTTTTTATGTATATATAAAAAAACTACTGCTATATTTACTCATCTTTTCAATGTTATTAGAAAATTTGACAACACCGCGTTCACAAACATTCGATCCAAATAAAAGAGAGAGAAACTAATAATCACATGGAAATTTGAACGGAGCCTTTCATAACATTGATTTTATAAGCTAGTCATTTAAACTTTGATAGTATTGTCACAATATGCTTTAGTAATTAACAATTTTAGTTAAAGTCGACTTTAGTGTGACTATAAAACCTTATGCAAGATTTTTTAAAACTTGACCAATTCAGTAATTAATTTTGTATCGCGCTCGGTATCTCATTTTATTTCCCAAACGAACTATATTTATATAATTATAGTGCTTATGTGAATCGAGTGTGGAGCACTGTAATTTGCCTCAGTTACAGCTGACGTAAACCTGCTGTACACAAATCAATAAAACAATTTGCAAATCGACCTAATAATACAACTCTCAAGTGTCTCGACTCGAGGGATACACAAATCATTGCACGTTTTTTTTACGATAACACATAACAAAGGCAAATCTCGACAACTAAATAGAATAGGCAGGCATGTTTATCAATTAATAGACGTTCCTATAATTTTAGAAATGTCTGTTCGAGGTGTTGCTAAGGAACTAAATACTGAGCATTGGATAGGTACTTCTCTACTCGTATGAGCGCAATCGTAAAATATTTACCTAGTCTTCTATCTGAAGAATGTTACAAACAGTCCCAGTCTGGCTATTTGAATGAATCGATTTGAAAAGTTGAAAACAAACAAGAGATTATTTATTTGAAATTTGAAATGATAATAATCCATTGTTCCATATTGGTTACACAATAATTCTCGCAGGTAGAAAGCCATTTTATGTCTGGTATGGGGAGACAAGTCTTGACAAGTTTGGGAATGTCGTCAATCATTAACAGAAGTGAACGCAGCATTCCCATGCAATAGAAAAAGGAGAACAAAAGAAATAGATGCTATTGATAAAATGTGGTTAGGAAATAAATGAAATTAATTATATTATGAATTGCCTTTTACGCGTAGTTCAATTCTCATGTCGACGTCAGGTAATTTTGTGCAGCCTTGTACATTAATCGGAATACTTATCGCCTACAACCTTTGTCAGTAGAAGGTTACATAACAGTCAAAATGTGCCGAAATTGCTAGTAGGTACCTACCCAAAAGAGGTTCTAGTTTATTAATCAAGATCAAGAAGTGTATTTTAAGTAAGTAGGTACCTATTGTATTTCCTACATCCCATCTGATTTGGATATACCTATTTACTAGCATTCAATTAAGTCTTCTTACTAAATAAATGAATTATATAACCGTTCAGTATCCATAAAGGAAGTTTAAACAGTTCAGTAAGCATAAAAATGCTGCCTTCTGATGAGATAACCTCCAAAATCGAAGACATAATATATTTACCTTCTGTCCTATATGAAAAGAGTAGGTATTATGTCTAAATGATACAACTGAATCTTTACAACTACAGGTCAATGTGGAAAGGTGGGTAGTTCAAAATAAACTAACCTCATCTAGCCGAGTAGACAATGTCACATATAATAATTTTAAATAAATGGTGCCCGTGTCCACTTAAGGCACAAAGAAAATGCCAAGTGAAGCACAAAAGATAGCCTTTAACTTGTACGGTCTAGTCCGACCCATTGTTTGTTAATTAAAGCGTTAGTGATACAGGGAACTGATTGAATAGTTTTATATCAAAAAGTGTCAACAAACTGTTATTCATCGGATACCCGTGGAAATGACTTAAAACGTAAACAAAAGACAAAAGTAAACAAAATTCTAACCTCCTTGTTTCAAGTCGTCGGTGTGGTCAATTGGGATGACAAGGAGGGGCAGCACACCACTAAGCCCGACGAGGATGGAACCAAACATGGCCCACAGCCAGGGCATGTACTCTAGGGCGAAAATCCAGCTCGGCACCAGGTCCTGCATGATCTCCCGGTAGGAACCATCAATGTTCGTGTTATTGGACTCGCACACAAACACATTCGAAATAACTGTCATTGTTACGATTTTGGCGGGTGCGACGGCGATATGCGAATTTTAAAGCTATGTTTAGACTGCACAACGGCAACGGACTAATTTGCCGACTAATCTTCTCTGAGACTGAGCCGGACAAATTATTATCTTAAACTGGTCGAGGATAAAAGCACTTTCAAAACGCACTCATTGTACTTAAAGTTTTACTACATTTCTGTGTAGAGTGCTCGCAGGCTGCTGTGCTTTTGACGGATGTTGTTCTCCCACCAACTTAAATGAACATCTGGTCGGCGATAGTTACTTTCCACCACGGTCAACTCTGCTGCTATTGTGACAGCGTTGCCAAATACTTACGTTCATAGAGTACGATCTCCTTTCCTGTTTTCTCATAACGTCTGGCAACGCTGTTGTTTGCTGTGGTGGAATTGAATCGATTTTCGCTTCTACGTTTTAACCACCACACGAGGCGTACGCATGATAACGCATAAAATGGCGCAGGCGTAGGTTTTGTTTGGCACAGTCGACAATGCATTGTTCTCTGTTGTCGTGTATTTCAAAGAATTTTGTTTTTAGTACAATAATAAAAACCGTGTTAGACAAAACAATAAATTGAGATTATTTGTTGTCTTGTTGGTACTTATTTAAACAGCATACAAGTATTTAAAGTGCACATCTTAGATTCTTAAGGTATCAAGAGCTGATTTTTTACACATCCGATTTCGTAACTGTCAAATGAGAGAAAATAAACAAATTTAACAATTCATATCAACATTGCAGGCTTCAAGAATATGCCAGCGTTCAAGTAAGTTTGGCTGATTTATTTGACAAATGAAAAATAGGTATACCCAGGGAAGAAGATTAATTTCAATAGGTACACGCCTATGCAAATATCCTTAATTTAATGTTGAAAACAGAACAATAATATTTATTTTTATCAATAATAGAAATATAGGATTCTAGCTTGTAGATAGTTAGAAAACATAAAATGTTAGAAGAGGTACCTATATAATAGCTTTGTTTTGATTCTCATTCTGAAATTGGAAACTGTATGAAACTAATTCTTAATCGACACAAAACTGTATGAGCATCAAACTGTTTTCTGAACAAATTTAGAAATAATAAACAAAAACGCCAGTCAGTCGCCGCAACAATGTTTTTTGCTTATACCCATTTAATTTTTTTTTTGATAGAACTCAAAGTGAAAACAAAATAAAACTAATATGCTAGTATAGTAATCGATAGCCAGATCACATACATGGATGGATACCTAACACAAAATTAGAAATACGTTAAGTACATCTGCTCTAATAAATTTATAAGTTAGGCAACCAACAATACATTAACAAACAGTTAAGAGTTGCATATCAAGTCCAAATGTCAATTTTGATACTCCCCGTTACATGGTGGTACCTACCAATCAAAATGCTGCACCATCGTCGTCACTTACCTTTATAAAGTCACTGTGGTATTTTACAATTTACGCAAGATAATTTTTGCTTATAAATCTGTAGGAGATGAATAACGTAACAACCATTGCTTTATATAATTAATAAATGGGTAGAGATTAATAAGATGCGAAAAATTTTAAACTTTATGGGGAGAAGTTTTCAAAGAGCGTTTTAGACTCAATTTGCATTTGTAATTCGAGCGTAGAACCATATGCTGCTTGGGGTGGGCAGCAATTTGGCTAATAGCACACATAGCAAATCCATATTCCAATAGGCGCTTTTTTCCCAAATTGGATAGACTTAAACTACGCGTTACTGGGCGGAGTTTGCAAATAAAGAGAAGGAATTTTGGAAAATATGATCTATGCAAGTTAGGCTAGTCTAGGTCAAGGACATTTATTTAAATGTCCTTGGTCTAGGTGAGGTTAAATATCATGTACCTAAATATTAATACTTTCATTGAATGTGTCAACTCATGAGAAGTTATATCGTATGCACTTGCTTTTAATAGCAAGCTTGTTAGGCAACTCAAGATACATCATTGTTTTCTGTATCAATGTAAAGTATAACTACAAGTGAGACATCATATCTAAAATTTCAAGATTCTACTTAATTCTTAACTCAATTTGATGAATATATCTATTTATCCATGTTTAATAGCAGTTTTAATGTTTTGTAAAAAATAATTTGTGTAAGTAATTTAGGAGTAGATAACTTGGCAGCTGATGTAGCTGCGCTGAAGGATATAAACAAAGTTTCGAAGTTGGAAACACAAGTGTTAAAAAAGAAATGAGATAGTAATTTAAGAATAGTTTATATTTAGATTACGATTGTAATTTACCTGAAAAATTTACTGAAAATATATGTTATAGATGTACTTAAATAGTAAGCCCAAATTAATATCTGTTCTATTCATCACTGAAGTGAATGTAAGTAAATCTTGGATAATTAGAATGAAATACCTACATCATAATAAATGTGTGGTCTGTTTGTGTGCCAAAATTTAAACAACATAGTAAATGACATAAACAAGTAATTATAACATCAATTATGACTTTACAGCTGTTTGTAATACGGGGTGAATCAATATACATATATAATATAGCATAGTCGTAGCCAGGGGTGCTGGGGGGGCACCTCCTCCCCCTAATTCTTGCTCGATGCTGCAAGTTTAAAAAATTACATTATTATTACCGAACATTTGTTCTTTATAGTTTTAATTAAGTAATATACAAATTTAAACAAAAATAAATATATTATTTATTTGTTTTTCCATAAAAAAACCCTCATCGTTAGGTTTTTTATTTGAAACTACTCTTTTTCGGATACAAAAATTATACTTTTTTAAATTTAGTAAATAACATCCTAAAGATAATATGTAAAATAATAAAAGCATGTATATTACAAAATTTGTAATACAAATATAATGTCAATAAATTTTAAGGATTGTGATACAAAAAAAATGTAGAATTTGTCAATATTTAATGCATAATCTTTAATATTTTGATGTAAAATGTAGTTATTCTAACTGTTAGAGAGATTTATAGAATCATTTAAATGCAGACGCATTATACAAGTAACATATTTACCTTAAAGAGGTACTGAAACTATCTGGAATTTATAACAAAACACGTTGCTACTAAGAAATAGCCAATAAACAACCCAAGGTAATTAGAAAATCATCGCGAAGTTGTAATAAATTAACTCGACTTGCAAAATTCGTTTGTAAAACTGAATACGACGGCTTTTCATAGCTAGTGTTTACAACGGTGGTCGTGGTTACCGTCGCGCAGCAGTAAAAGATGGAAGAGGAGTAGCGCATATTTAGTAAGCGGTTCGGTCTCTCTATAGTCCGACCGTAACCAAATAATAGCTTTTCACCGCTTTTTTTCTTATTGAACGTAATATGTTTAGTGTAGTAGGCATTGTTTATGTTTTTTAAAAAAAACTGTAAAATTTTAAATTAGATTGTAAAGATAGACTAACACTTGCAATGCATTCTATTGAAAAGTCAGTGGTGCGAGAAATACTAAATTTTAATGAATAAGTAATTGAAAAGTTTGTTTCGAACAAAAGCAGAAGAATGGGCTTTCACTGTAAAAAATAATGTTGAGCATATTTTCCTTATATTTTAATAGTACATAAAATAAAACTACCCAATTACATTTGATTTTTTTTCAATACTTTGTACCATTGTACCTAAATTTGTCCACCCTCCTTGACATGGAAGTGAAGAGCCGCCACTGACTGCGAGTGTGGTTATCTTCACTTCTACTATTTCCAAAGATGTTTAAATTGACACCATGTCTAAACATACGATAATAGTAATTTCGACGTTTACATTTTATCAGTTTTTTCGCAAGCGAAATACCCATCCGCTACCCGCGCGCTTTTTAACGAAGCGTATTTTCTCGACCGTATTTCACTGAACCCGATTTTTTTCCGCCGCAGCCGTCTTCCAGACGGGCTAAATAAGTTTGGCCAGTCACCGCATGTGTGTTAATTAGAACTTCGCTCAAAGGCATTTATGCAGTTGCCAATGAATGCCTTAGCCATTAGACAAGACCCATTTCATTCGTCAAATGCCCGGCCCCGGCCTACTATTTTAGCTCATACATGAATTTTATTGCAAGACGAGGATTGTTTGAGCCGGCGTCGATTTGTTGCTACCTTTGCGTTGGGCGATCGGCGGTGTGTGGATTTGGTTCAACGAGAAAGTTTCAAGGTTTGAGTTCTGTGTTTTTTGGCGGCCTATGCGCTGTCGGAAATGGACGCGTGGGGCACTTTGGACATCGGGGCCGCCATCGTGAGGGACGACTTGACCAGCAGCTTCAGACGTTCCAAGAAGCTCGTAAGTAACAGGAATTATCATATGTTCTAACTTCAGTGTGGAATGTTCTAACTTCTAATTGTCTTATATTGAGCTAGTAAGCATTAACGAAAAAATTGGTAACTAATTACTTTTCCTTTCACATAATCGTAAGCTGAGTTCTCTATAAAGAAGCTGTCTTGGATTTTACATACAGTGCGCTGCTAAAAAAACGACAGAAATTGAGGCAATATTGTCAACAAATCGAATAAACGTTTTGTGGAATGCAAATAACTAACTCAGAAATAACTAATTAAAATTCTATTATTATAATTGAGATAACAGTGCCAGTTTGGCTACAAATGATAAATAAAATTCAATTTCAAAACAATCTTAGTATGTTTATGTGTTTAGAAAATGAAAACGTAGCATTTAATGTTTTTATTTTCCAATAACATTCGTTTTTGGTGCACTTCGAGTAAATATTCTTTCAGAAGTTCAGTAAAAACTCTTGTACCAAGAGACGAAATGCCGTTTTTCGTGAGTGAAAACAAGCATTTGATCCCGAATTGGAAATTTAATTCAAAATGAACAATTATATAGCATAATATTAATTTTTTTTATTTCCTCCCACATAGCCACACATGAATTTCCAAAGTTGCCGCCGTAATATATAAGATGATATTTGGGCCAATTTTTACCCAAATAATGGATTTCCTGAGAAATAGAAGTTATGGGTAAATTTTACTAATGGCATCAGCACCCCAAAATACAAAGAAAATGATGTATTAGGACAAAATTTAGAAAAATATTAGATTTGATTCATATTTGGGCCAGTTTTCACTCAAAAATTTCACTTTTTTCCGAAATTCATCGGGAAGTCACGAATTTTGACTGCAGGATCGTGTTCAGCGTATCGAAATCCTTCGGAAATGATATATGGGTCTCTTGGGTTTGGACTTTTTTTTTGTGTGCCTGTGTTATTGAAAATAATTAATCCATAATTTCCATCCATATAAACATACGGAATTTCAACGTAATAGACCAGGAAAATAAGCTGAGAAATTACCATTTCTCGACTTTGTTTCGGCAAGCTGAATTTATCACTATAGATGCTAAATATTGCTAAGCTAAAGCGAACGACAGCGAGTCCGAAGAAAATGACGATAATATTCATAGTCCTGCCGTTAAATAAGCGAAATTCGCTTGAAAATAATATATTTGAGAGGCCTGTAACTCCGTTGTTTTTCAACGAATCTTGACGATTTTTTTTAACTTAAAGCTCTTTGCATAAGCCGAATATGTAATAATATATAACTATATCACGCTCGTGCGTCGTATATTTCATTTTGCAAGGTTAAAAAATAAAAAAAAATTCCAGGTTGCAAATTTAAAATTAAAAAAAAATGATAGATTTCAATGTATTGTTATGAAATTTACCATGAAAAAAATCGGGATCGTCCAGACTAATAATTAGTTAATGTTTATAAGGCCATAACTTGTAAACTATTACCGATTCCAGATTTCGTGTGAGTTATTAGATAGTGATAAGGAATGAGAGGATGCGATGCCAAAACGTTCTGGTAATAATAACACAGTTTATAATGTTTAATTCAAAAGTCATAAATAAACTTATTTTATTTATAACTTTTGATCTAATCAATATGTTTTGATGCTCGTGGGCTAGTTTTGTAGGTCTTTTGAAGATGAAAAAAAGTACTTTACTGTTTTCTCGTGGAAATGAACGGAAAACAGTTATAAGCGAAAAACGTGAATTTACGTAAAAATTATACAATTGACCACCCTGTAAACCATCTTCCCCCCCATTTTTATGACTGTGGAAACTAATATGTTATTATTGTACATAATATTTAGCATCTATAGTGATAAATTCAGCTTGCCGAAACTCGCGTCCAACTCTATATTTCCTGGTCTAGTAAATCTACAATTATTTCACACACATTAAAATAAAAAATAAGGAAAACAAATATTCCTCATTTAATTGTAAGTTCAATTTTTTTGTATACTTCACTGCAATTAAATTGTATTATAACGAAAGATTTAAGCCTTACTTCCACATGTATATGAGTATTTTACATCACAAATTCAGTTAAACTCTAGAAACGCCTCCTCTCTTTGGCTTTGCCGCCTCAAAAATAATATCTTCTTCATAGCGCTTCTTCCTTGCTTCTTTCTCTCTATCCTGGTGAAAATTTATTGATATTTTCATCGAAATTTCATGGTTTGTGTTACTCTTCGATTACAATAAATATTATTACTATTTTGAGTAACTCAACCAGAGAAACTATAATCCCATAACGTAGACTGTCAGAGGAATTGTATAAATATCGACAAACAGTTAGTAGTACTAATTTGTTTATAAAAACAAACGCTGCAAACCGTATATATGCTCGTAAAATGTAACGTTTATTATATTTGTCAGAGATATTTATGGATAACGTATTTTAATGGTTGTTAAAGCACATGAAATGTGATTTCCTAGACCGTTAAGTCAAAGACCGTTCGTTCTATTAATACCCCTAATGAATTTATGGGTTTTCCATGCTATTTGGCGTTACTACAAAAAAACAAAGGCTATAATTGATAATTTCGTATGAAATTTTGCAATAGTTTAAGGGAACAATGACAAATTGTAATAACATTATATGATTTAGGTATGAATAAAAAAATTCTAACGAAAAATCAAATTTAGACCCGTAATCATGAAATAAAAGAGAATCAGTTAATCTTTTTTATACTTCTCCTTCTTAGAAATAGTTAATGTTGAAATATACATTGAATATAAATATCACTTTTTCAGTAATTTCAAGAAGAACGTAATTAATTTGCTCAAATGCTTAACCAAAAATCTCATCATTGAAAAAATAAATATAAAATTAAGATCACTGTAATCGTTCACATTAAAAAGTTGTTGACGTTTCGAAAATCTATGTGTTTTCGTCTTCTAAACCAATGAGTCTTCGTTTTTAAATATTTTTGACAAGTTTGTTTTGGTCTGTTTCCATAGTTAGAGATATTTAATATTAGAACAGTTTTACAAACTTTATTGCCAAAAACGAGCACAAATATTAGGTATATTACAAAACAAGAATTTGAGAAATCAAAAATTTGCGATCACGCTTAGGAAAACGGTCATACACTGTAAACAAAAATCACTCAAATTTCTTTCAAAATCAATTGATAATATATCAATTTCTATCCACACCAGATTGAGTGAACTTTTCACTCTATTAGCATGAGTATAACTGACTGAAACTATTGAATTAGAAATGAGTGAGAGTTTTACTCAAGTCCGAGTTACTGCTAACTATCAATTGAGCGGCTTTTAGGACTCTATTCTGAGTATATGAAATCAATTTAGTGTTGATTTTTTCTCTAATATGATTTAAATTTAACTATTATTGAGTCACACTCAGACTTGGTTTTTAATTAACTAAGTATTGAGTGCAAAAATAAATCACTGATGCCTGATTAATTAGAATATACAGTGTTGAAATTAATTCACTTCACGGGGCCTTCTCCTGTCCTGGCTGAGACCCGACTGCTGAGATCCAGCGCCGCCGGTTAAGGCCTGTTCTCCTGACGATCACGCTTTTCTGGAGCATCTAACCGGCCCCTATCAACTGTGGTCGAGATTACAGACGCAATATGTATGGTGCCATCTTCATGGTCCCTTCAAATTACTCGAAATTAATATAAGTACATTTAGACTCACTCAGTAATGAGGATATTTACTCTGATTTAGGTACAAGTGCACCAAATACGAGTTTACGTGAAGAACTTATTTAAGGAGTACCTATATTTGAGCGAAAAATAATAATAAAATAAATATTATACAATACTTATCTTTAATGAAAAAGGGCAAAAACAAAATAGAAACTGTCAAAAATTATTAAAACAGATCAATAGGTCATATATCACAAATAGGTAGGTACGCAAAAATATCTCGAAAAATGTTTAACAAAGATTAATAAAGTTTGAGCTGCCAATTTAATTAAAGAAAAATAAAAATTCATTGAATTTACATAAAAAATTATCTTGTTTATTAGAAAAATCGGTAATTCTGGAGTTTTCGGAAATTTAGGAAACCAGGTCAAGTTTCATTAAACTATGTCAAATATCTATCGAGATATTTGCGAAGATGCCATTTAACATCCTGTATTTCTAACATTAAGCCCCTTAGGGCAAATATTCATAGGAACTTTTTCCCTTAAAATAACCGCCCCTTTCATTACCGGAAAGTATAAGTACTGAAAGGCCACTCACTCTATACGTATAAATAATCTGTTCTCAAAACCAAATGATTTTGAATGGAACAGGAACAAATAAAGTGAGATGGAACTGATAGTGAGTGGGGTATATTGTATGTAAACCACAAACAATTTAAAAATCAGGTGCTTAAATATAGAATGTCATAAAAATGAAGTTGAAAAACCAACGCAGTGGAATTTACATCTCAAGAAGGAGTTTGTTCATCAAAGTGTAATGCAATGTGGTTAAAATTATGTCTTCTGTTCGTTTTTCATTTTCGTTGGTAAAAAAACAAGAAGTAATGGAAGAGAGTAGTGAAGAAAATTGTAAATATAGAACTGAGATAACAAGAAAAGAGGTAATATGAATATGTCAAGGATTAAATCTATCAAACCGGCATTCTTTAATGTAACGAAGTTTCTTTGAAAGTATGCACTTTTTTTGCTTTGCCTACACAAATTTATACGTTTTAACCGGTATATAAAAAGCAAGTACCAAGGTACTTCTAAATAATTCATGCATATTTCAGTGTCATGTAGGTGCTGTAGACAATATAAAGTAAAAACAAAATCATCTCCATTGTTTTCTTAATCCGAAGCTCGATGGCCAAAATCCAGCCGGGCCGTCTACGTCTGGCCGGCATTTTAGGGTATTTTTAGAATGCCCGTTTTCAAAGAGAATGCGGCTTAGAACAGCCTGCGTTACGTAAAGAAAATATATTCGCGCGCCTGTGTATCTCTTGTGGGTGTGTTTGTTAATTAATGTTGGTGCTTGCAATTTTCGATTTGTGCTGAAATATGGACGTTTCTCCCGATGTGTGGGGCCAGCTGGCCCTGGAGGCCTCCCAGGTCTATTTGACCGACGGCACGGCGGCGAAGAGCCCGTTCGCCGGGACGGTACGACTAAAAATAAGTCTATTTATCCGTTTTTCGCTTTTAGGTGTTAATTAGTGGCTGCGATTTGATTTTACAAAGCTGGGATTGATTGCATTTTCCTGTGTTTGATGTGGGGAAAGTTCCGCTGCGTTTATAAATAGAGCCGCGGGTACGATTGTAGTTCGAGTACGAAAATTTAGATTTAATTTGAAAAATGGTAATTATTCGATACTTTGTGAATCGTTGTTAGTTTTCATTTGCACGTCTAAAAGAAAAGGCATTGTGCGAAAGATAAACAACTCAGGCTTGACATTTGAAAAGAGGCCAAGAAAAAAATCGTTTAAGCGACATTTGACGTTTATACAGGGGCTAACTGGGCTAAACTTTAATGGTGGATTCTACGTCATAAATCAATAAAAAAGTTTTTTTAAATATGTGTCCGTTGACGTTACCTATTCCAGATACAGAGCGTTGAAATTTAAAACAAAACATACATTTAGGTGTTTAGATTCTCTTAAAATATTTAACGTAGATGCAACTTAGGCTAATGACAACTAATTATGGTAAAACAAATTGCTGAGTTATTTAAATCTGTCAGCTGTTGGCGGATACACTGAGAAACTCCATTATTAAGATAAGACTTCGAATTTGGACACAACTGAATATTTTACAAATGGATAAGTGCATTTAATTTGAGTTTCGGTTGCGTTTTAATAAAAAGGATATACATATTTCATTTTATTCTAAAAACTAACTATTTTTTAGGCACTACAGAGCGTTCATAAATGTTTACAAGCCAGGTGACCACCGAGTTTAGGCAACCCAGCAATGCACAATTGGTACTGGTATAGTTGTTACGATCTCAATTGGAACCGCATAAAAATATTTAATTCATAAATTCTACGGAATCCATAGACGTCCAGAAAAATGTTGCCCTGTCTCGTCTAGATATACTATATTCCGAGCTGTATTATCATATAATTACCATACGATTGTAAAGTTTTTTATGTTTAAAATCGCATTGTAATAAAGCATGTCGTAAAATATCTAAAATTTATAATTATAATCAGGATAATCGCTGAATTTATCTCGAATCATGTTTAAAGTAGGAACTTTATTTTCTTTATACATATTATAAATTATGCGCCGCATTACATCTGGTAAAATAATTTTCCGTTTCCTCTTTGTATCGTGATCAATCCTTCTTTAATTACGCGATAAATTGGCCTTTTTTTGGATATCTTAGTTAATTCGTTAATCCGTTTCCTAACTTTTTTATCACATTGTTCACTATTTTCAATCATTCATATACATTTAATAACGAGCGTTCAAATAAAAACGNTCTCAATTGGAACCGCATAAAAACATTTAATTCATAAATTCTACGGAATCCATAGACGTCCATAAAAATTTTGCCCTGTCTCGTCTAGATATACTATATTCCGAGCTATATTACCATATAATTACCATACGATTGTCAAGTTTTTTATGTTTAAAATCGCATTGTAATAAAGCATGTCGTAAAATATCTAAAGATTTATAATTATAATCAGGATAATCGCTGAATTTATCTCGAATCATGTTTAAAGTAGGAACTTTATTTTCTTTATACTTACATATTATTAATTATGCGCCGCATTCTGGTAAAATAATTTTCCGTTTCCTCTTTGTACCGTTTCTTTAATTACGCGATAAATTGGCCATTTTTGGATATCTCAGTTAATTCGTTAATCTCTTTCCTAACTTTTTTATCGTATTGTTCATTATTTTCAATTTTCAAACATTCATATATATTTAATAAAATACGTTGACTTTTCACGTGTAAATCTTTGTTTTTAAACACTGAGTTTGTTTCGATACTTTCGACAAAAACCGGTTCCACTATTTGGGGATTTTCCCGAATTATTTCGTCATCCTCCACTTCAAAGAGTCTCTAGAGAGCCACGCTAAATTACTAGATAATTACATATAACATTTATTTTAATAACTGTTACCGTTTACTGGTTACGATATGAACAAATAATAATATCGACTAATAAATAATAATACGTACTGTACTAACAAAATACCCCGCCAAGCAATGCTCTGTACGGCACTGTCAAAGTGGCAAAGCTAAGTGAACCCGTGAACCATACAAAAAAATATTTATGACCTAGTGGACCAATACAGGTTTGCTTTGATGACCAGCGCGCCGCCGTCAATTCTACATCAGGTGGACTAGTTTATATATCAGGCGGACTAGTTTACAATTTCAGGAGAAGTGCATACGGTCCTGTGTTTTAAGATTTACAGGTTCCAATTGACATCGTAACTAACTATAACGAAAATCCCTTGAATTTTGACGTCAACAATATTAACGATTCGTTTGCAATGGTCAATGACAAGCCGTTACAATACGTTTGAGATAATGCGATCGCTGATTGGTTGAATAGAATCTCGTGGCAAATTACACCAATCACAGAATATTATGGTTTAATATAATTTTGATCTTATTTCTTTAATTTTATCGAAATTTGTTTGCCAACCTGAAAGAAATAAAATTACTGTCCCAAACAAAATTACTGGTCGCGCGACTTGTAATAATTTATGAACTCTGTATTTTTAAAATTAATATAAGCTTACGACATACTGGATTAAAACGAGAATTTCAATACTTTTGGTGTTAAAAACATAACATTTTTTTTTGGAAATACAATTTTAAGTACAATGTATCAAAAGCCCAAAAAAAATAATGTTGCAGGAATTTATTTTTAATTTTCTGAAAAATAGTAACCCCTAAAAAGTTAATATTGCTAAGCCAACTAGTTTTTTGACTTCTTATTGTATTTGTAGGTATTTAAAATTGAATTTCTAACAAAAAGTCAGCTAGTTCGCAGGATTATACTAAATTCTAAGGCCCGATACTTTCAGTCTCGGTTAAGACTTGATTAACTAATCAGGCGATTAGACTGAATATACTTCTATAAAATAAATCAGTATATGTACAGTCTAATCACGCGATTACTTAACCAAGGCTTAACCGAGACTCAGAGTACCGGGCCTAACTTAACTCTAAAATGGTTAGTTACCGGAATTAAATGTACCTACTTTCCGAAACATTCAGTAGTATCGAAACTCTAGAGTTCTTAAGTGACGTATTTCCTAGCGTCTCCGCTACTGGTTGGCAAATTTGTGTACCAAATTTTTGCTTATAATTAGTTACATCATTAACCCAAGATACCTACCTACCTTAATCTACGTCAAATATTTTTTGTTTGACAGACAAAATCATTAACACCCTGTTTATTTGAAAAATAATACCAAACGTTTTAAAAATCAAATAGGTACCTACCTACCAAATTTGACACATTTTAAATAATATGGATTTACTGTTATAGGTATTTTTTTCTTTGAATATGTTAATCACATACATTTGCATCCTGTATCAATTTGTATCAACTGTTAATAGAATGTTTCCAAAATTTCTAGATTTTGATTAACTTCATCAACTCTTATTTTATGATAATTATAAGTCGGGTGATTTAAGATCCTCGCCTACGGCTCGTGTCTTAAACTTCATCCTCGTGAATAACAATGCATAATATACTAACAACTTTAATTAAAATGCCTCTTTCCCGTTCAAAAGATATAAAACAATATGTATACAAAAAAGACAGGTTAGATCAAGTCTGTTGCTGTTCTTAATAGCCTTATCATGGAAGACATGATACACTATTTATATTATTTATTATTGATACAAATGGTTTGTTCTGCTTGCTGACGTTACTTCATTTTTATATTCATTATTGACAAAAATTTTTCCGAGCTTCCTCAAAATTCAGAATTATATCTATTTTTTTAGTGCATATTTATTTATTTTTTCATAACTGCAACAAAAACACTTACAAAATCAGTACAGACTTGATCTGCTAGTGCTTAACTTCTCTATACATATTTTATATCTATCTTTATATGTTGAGAAACTGTTCTAGCAAAAGTCGCTTAGAAAAAAAAGGGGATTTTCACATGACATATAAAAAATATTAATGAAATTGGGTCAACTAAGTTAGAGTGATAAATTTATTTAACTTTATGTATATCGTCATCCCAAAGAGAGAAAACTAAAAACGTCATTTAGTAGCGCTTGCTATTGCATAACTTCCTTTTGTAATTTAAACAACTTTGTACCCAATATTTTCCAAGATTTCCATAGCTTACGTCCGCAGATTTTCTATATCATTCGTTACACTGATATTTTAAAACATAAACACATTATACGTATGACTCTGAAACTGGAAATTGTACTATTTTTACCGAGCTTTCAAATTCAAACATCATTTCTCTTTGATGTTAATTTCTCGCAAGCCATATGTAAAGTTTTATTTAAAACTGTTTCAACTGGGTTGCGAAGCAGTATGAAGGTATGCGGGTACATTTTCAATATAAAATAATTCCTTTCTCTCTTTCAGACAATCGAGAAACTGCCAGACAAGGTCCTCCTTCACATCTTCAGCTACCTCTCCCACAAGGAAATATGTCGCATGGCAAGGGTTTGCAAACGATGGCGGCTCATCGCCTACGACACCAGGCTATGGAAGAATGTTTCCCTACGTCCGGAAATATCGGGACTCCACGTCGGATCCCTGGAGTCCCTCTTGGCTCTCATCAGTATCCGGTTCGGACCGTCTCTAAGGTACATAGAGTTGCCAATAGAGTTGATCACCCACACGGTGCTCCACGAGTTAGCTAATAAGTGCCCGAATTTGACCCACATGTTGTTGGATTTCTCTACTGCCATGCAGTTGCATGATTTCAGCGAACTTCAGGCGTTTCCCACCAAGTTAAAGTACCTCTGTATATGCCTTTCCGAAGTCATCTTCATGGAAGGGTTTATGAGGAAGATATACAACTTTATCAACGGTTTGGAGATTTTGCACTTGATCGGGACTTACGAAAAGGTAGAGGAAGAGGAGGAAGAAATTTATGAGGTTATTAACGTACACAAATTGAAGTCTGCCACGCCGAATTTGAGGGTGATCAATTTGTACGGGATTAACTTCGTGGACGACAGTCATATCGACGCTTTCAGCTCAAATTGTATACAGGTAGGTGACGAAATATTGTTGTAAATGGTAACAGTCATTGATTTTTTTCAGTTGGAATGCTTGGCAGTAAACTTCTGCAACAAAGTCACGGGATCCACGCTGAAGACCCTTTTCCAAAGAAGCAGAAGGTTGAGGTGCTTGCTTATGAATGGAACAAGTAAAGTACACCTAAAAATCGAAAAGGCAAAGTTCTATTTGTTTTTTGGTCATTTCCTTTCTAGATCTGCACAGCGAGTATCTGATGCAGGTGGAGTGGGAGAAGTGTTCTCTGCAAGAGCTGGACATCACCGGTACCGACTTGTCCACAGAAAGTTTGCAGGACATGTTAACCAGGTTGCCGGGGTTGAGATTTCTCAGCGCTGGGCAGTTGAATGGACTCAATGATTCCGTGCTGAAGACGTGGATGGAGGCTGGGAACGCAAGGAATTTGGTATATAGATTTTTCCATAATTTAGTTCACAGTTATGCAACCATACATACAATATAATGTGTTGTCTGGTAGTATGTTGTTGTTAAAGACATTTGTGAATATTTCCGTGTAGAGGTAATTTTATTAACAAATTCGTTTGATTAACAGGTTGCTTTAGATTTAGATAGTTCCGACAACTTGTCAGAAGAAGCTATTTATAAGTTCCTTTGCAAACATGGACACCAGCTGTGGGGTTTAGGATTGTCTGGGATGACGCACATCACCGATTCCCTTTGGCAGACCGTTTTACCGATTTTGACGAATGCAAAGTAGGCCCCTAATTTTATTAAGAATTAAATTCAACAGTGTAGAGATAACGAATCCAGTTTGTTTCTAGGCGCGTTTTTCTTTATTTTTAATAAAAATAAATGTAAATGTGGATTATTAGATATTAATTTTATTAAGTTTATTTTAAACAATTATGTGTAGGCAACCAATATTTAGCCAAAGCGTGCGAAAATTGCATAATCATTGTTTCAGGATATTAGTGTTGGGTACACAAGAACGACTGGGTATTAACATTTTGGTCGACCAACTTATGGACACAATAGCCAGGAATTGTCTGAATTTAGAACGAATTGAATTGCGATGGGACCCAGATAATTTGAGGTTTTCAGACAAGAGTCAAAAGGCTATCGATACACTCAGGGTGAAGTGCCTAAAGATGAAATGCCTGTGTCTAAGGTAAGGCCCTTTTTTTCTCGTTGCTTTTCATGTTCAGTTCATTTCATTTCAAGATTGTCACTATCACTATTTTTGCTGCTGGAATTCATACAATTTAAATGCTACTTAGGATTTTGTATCTGGGAAGGTCTTCTTCAGGATATTTTTTTTTTAGTGATGGGCGCTATTACGAAGTGGTCAAGGCCAACTTCGAGCGAGCCGACCGAATGACGGTAGTAAGGACATTAACAAATTGTAGGGTTTCAAATTATTATTTATTGTCCAACTATAAAGATCTGATTTTTAACTAGAATATAAATAAGTAAGGTGTATAACTTAAAATATCTTTTATTATTTTTAATTCTATAATAAATACGTAAGGACAGTTTCAAGGAGTGCACAATAGTGGAGATTTATAAGTATACCTCATAAATTAAAAAAAATATATGTTACAAAAAAAATAACAGTAGCTTTCAGTTTCTTGCACATTTCCATAATATATACACATGATGTAGATTTCACAATTATCGGTTACGTAAAAATATACACTAGGCAACTATATTTTTTATTCTTATTGACTTTGAAAAAAAAAGTCGTCAAATTTTATATAACGAAAAAAAATAGTACTCAGAAATAGTAAACCTTATAAAAAAAAAATGTATAAAAGATAAGTTATGTGTATAATAAAGAAAAATGTTTTGCTTGACATGAAATATAACAAAAAATTACCCTTTTCACACATAACTTGAGTCACTATTTAGTCCTTAACCGAATTAACTAAACAAAAATTTTTAAACAAGAATCACGAGCCCTGATTTTTTTATTTCCTTTGACTATATACGAAGAGTTTTGCCCTCAAAGCTCTCGAGGTTATCCTTACATCTATAAAAATGTAAAAGAATCCTTTAATTGACCAGTGTAAACAAAAATAACTTGGTATTGTCCATTTTAAAATCTATATTACTATAATGACGATGACTATTAAGATTGACCTCTTTCGAGTAGCTATAATTACATTATCATATATTTTGATACCATATTTTTCTTAAAAAAATTAATAAAGTCAATAAAGATATTTCCTTAATATATACACAGGTATAGAGTCTGGATTTAACTTTACTAAAAATCTAATTTTTGCATCTTTACGAATTTTGGGCCTAGAGAGTTTTAAGTAGCACCAATCCATGCATAGGATTTTTTCAGAGAAAATATATTTTTCTTGAAACCGTCAGTAAAATAAATAAATATGTTCTCCCTCTTATTTATGTTTTTATACACTGATGAGGACTTTTATTGCAAGCATTTTTCAATTGCCATCCTTTCAACAATTCTAAATAAATTTATGATGTACATAGAAAAGTGCTAAAAGTATATTATTAAATATTGTTTTTGAATCATTTTTTATGAGTTTAATCCACTTTTGTATTTAGCATATAGTTTCTATTTTGTTGTAGTTTTTAATAAAATTGCTATTGACAAAAATAATATGGGTCATACAGACCTTTTATAAATTGTCAATAAAATGCATATAGTAATATTTGCATTAACAGGTAAGTTCAATAATTTTGTTCAAGATTTAAAAAAAAGTCTTATGAATTACGCAAAAAAGTGGTTTTTATATTTACATTAACTTTTAAATTAATTTCAAGAAAAATGTTTCGCCCCCCATGTCAAAATTACTCTATACGTTGCAATTTAGAAATATTTCATATATAAAGAAATAGTCTACTATTTACACTCTTTAAAATTAATTAAACTTTCTATATTTCTATAAATTTATTATTGTTTGGCAATAAATACGCATTTTAGGAGGACAAAGCTATGGAATAAAAGTCTCACTTCTTTCTACAACCATCCCCTGTATAGCAGATCCTTTGTGAAAAATAAGTAATCAATCCCCATCTGTATGATAAAATGTATATTTTATACGTTTAAATTGCTAAAAATATCCATAGCTATGCTATAAATCTAGTCATAATCTCTATTTAGTATGGGTAATCGGAGCAACATGCACCTACGTTTTCCGAGTTAGGTCAGTAACAGGCGTACTTTTCTGTTTCAAATTAGTCTTTTTTCTCAAAGTCAATAACTTATGTATCAGTGTGCATTATTTTCCATCAGCTTTGTCCACGCTCCAAGAGCTTAGCCCGCGCAACAATTAACCTAAATCACAATTTCAAAAAACCTATCACCTGTCATAATTGTTCTCTTCCGCTACGGGCACCACTTGCCCATTTTCCCTCCGTTCCTCGGTATCGATCCCGTGCAGGATCTCGTGGCACAGGGGACACCTGTCTTGCACGTACAACCATTTCCTTAGGCACACGCCGTGGAAGAAATGCTTGCACTTCGTGATCTTCGCCGATTGCATCTCCTGATAGCAAATGGCGCAGACATCGTCCAGCGCCCTCAGCTGTTCCTTCTCCGCTTCGGGTAAGCTCTCGATTTTTTTAACAGCCGTTCTTCGCTTCATGAAAACGGACCAACCGGCTTTGGCGTCGCACCAGATGTTGAAGTAGGCGTGTATGCACATCATGACCGCTCTTATGGCACTGCCGCTTTCGAACATCAGAATCCACGCCCCGTTGAAGAACAGGAAGATCCCGAAGCAGAATTCGACTGTATTACCAAAAGCGCGTATGTAGTAAATGTAGTCGTCGAGTTTTTCCCAAAAGGTTTCCCGTCTGGCGTCCAATAAGAATAGCGAGTAAATCGCCAGGGAGACGAAAACTTTTACTATGACCTCGATACTGAACGCCGTTACTGCTAGCAACCAAGTTGACATTTCCTGCGTAGACCACAAGAAGTACATCAGTACTAAAGGCAGTGCCACCAGTACTCCGCATACTAGTAAAGCGTGCAGATGTCTTCGCAAAGAAGGGTTATGAGATGCGCTCAAACTCATCAGCAAAGGATTTACGACGTTATGAGTAAAATGCAACAAAGCAGTAAAGAGTAGGCAGAAGTTCTTACATAATCTAATAAAACGAATCTCAGGTTCCAAGCCAGTCAAACCAGTCTGTAAAGCAAGGATGTAGAACACTATGGCAGAAACGGTGCCAAAGTTCTTATCGTACTCGTCGTCTGTTAATAAGATCCATTGGAAGAACTTCCCGATGAAGTTGCAAATGTAGGAAACGATACTAGTAATACCCAATACGGCCGTTAGAGTATCACACCCTGTAACCATCAAATACTTCAGCAGTCTGAAGTAAGGTGAATGGTCGTCCTCAATGTCCCAGTACCCAGACAAGAAGAATATCCCAGTATGTTCCAGCAAGCGCAGCATCCAAAATGTTCGTAGGACTTCGGGAACGTTCAATCTTAACCACTCCGACTCCACAAGCGCCGACATTCCGAAATTGGAAACGAAATTCTTGGCCTGTATATACCCCGAATACACCGATTGGACTATTTGCAAGAACGAGGAGAACAAAACGAACTTAACCAAAGCCAAAGGTAGCAGCGCTCCGAATAACGGCGAGTGATGAAGCAAATAATGGGGAACAGGTATCAGCAATAAAACGGAAGTTGTCAGGAACGACGCGGGTAGGAGTTTCTGTAAAATTGGATATCTAGGGCCGAGATGGATGTTGACAAAGATCAGCGATAACAGCGACTGCAACACGTAGTTCTGTACTATGTGCACAAAGCACAGCTTGTGTTCTACTATTTGTTCCAAGTTGAAGGAGAGTATGTTATGGATAATGTTGAAGGTGCCGTTGGAGCTCTCCATGCTGGATAGTAGCAGCTTCATGGTGCTGACGTTGGACCAGTAGGAAAGGAACACCATGCCGACCGACATAAAGTACATGTAGACCACCATCAGATGTTTCGTGCTTAACACGAAGAGACATATTGCTGTTGCACAACCTGCAACAATTAATTTACTAATATAAAAACACAATGCCTATTACAAACATTTATAAAAGTATATATTATCTTTAAAATGATTATAATGAACGATCGGATATGTAATTCAGTCCTAAAAAAAAATAAAATGTGATTTGTGATGCCATTAAATGAAAATTTCAAATGTAGAAATTGCATAATTATGAGCAATTCCTTCAGTGCTGCTAGATTTACTTAATAAACTATCAGATGTAAACAAGGCTCATAGCTAGAATGTTACGATAACATAATATTTAATTGCAAATCAAAAAAAAATAAATAAATAAATTATGATGATTACAAATTCGAGATATTAGTAATTACTGGTTTACTGTTTATAAATTGAATTAGTTGAATTAATCAAGTTTCTAATTACCAAAATTTCCACATGATTTTAATTGGCATTTTAGATGTGTAAATTACGTTTACAAGTATGTTTTGTAAACGAAAATTCCATTTTCTTTGCAGTTGAAGCAAAGTAGGTAGGTATTCCCTTAATAGTAAAAAATAATTAGTGTATTGCATCTGATCATAATTAGTTTATTTATATAAGTATGAAGATAATATATTTCTGTATTCATTCAAAGAAAAATAAATGTATATTTTTATCAATGGTCTTGAAATTAATATTAATAATCAGCATTAATTGGTAGATCGAATATCCTGTATATTCGCCATGATTAGCAAAATGCTAATGTACAATTATTATAGGCATTTTTTTTAATCTGAATCGGTTATAGCTGGCGTTAGATTTGTCAACTTATTATTTTCACAACTGGTTGCTGAAACGATACGAAACGATGCTCGAATGCGTTAACGAATCACACGAGTTCATTTTTATAATTCTATCCAGAAAAATATTCAATAAAAAATAATGTGTACCATTTTTTGAATTATATTATATTTCTTACTTAAAATCGTAAAATTGTTTTTAATCAAGAGGTAAGCGACAGGGGCGGCTAGTGCGTCCACACCAGTAAAAAAATATATTTAAAATTTAGTTTACAATGTTCTCTGGATAATTAAATAGATTAGCAACGTAGTAGCTCACATCTACATCTGTGGTCATGGTTACCGTCGCGCAGCAGTCCAAGATGGAGTGGGAGTAGCGCATATTTACTATGCAGGTTGAGCGCCGTTTAATCCGACCGTAACCAAATATATACAGTGCAGGAAAGTACCGATGGTCTATCAGAAGTTACGTGAGAGCGATAAAGTAAGCCATAGAAATCCATGTGATAGACAAGAATGGCTATAATGAAGGCGTCTAATAGTCAACGCCCATTTCGCCCTTCCACAAATAAGAAGTGGATCTTATTTTTATGCGTGATACTTGAAAGCCAAAAAGCCAAAAATCTCCGTGGATATACGATTCACCCAAATATGGCTTCTTGAAACAGATACCGTCTGGACTAATAGTTAGTTAATAATTTTTCCTTATTAAACGTAATTTGTTCAGGTGTGGTGTAAAATTTTGTTACTTCGGAACGAATAGGTATTTCTTTTTGATATTTTGGTAGCGTATTTTTGAATAGTTATATTAAAAATGCAATAAAATCCAATTTTTTGAACCCCCTAATGTGGTTTCCCCCTTTAATAATCAAAGAAAGCGCGCATACGAAGAGTTCGGCTGTGGTGTCGGACATGCGTAAGCGTGGTCTAGCTGTGGGCAGATGCAAACTCCTCTACGTTTTGCGAGAATGTACAATGTTTACTGTATGAGTACCTAAACGAAATGGCTCACGTGCCCCTCCAAATTGTACCATATGTACAATGTACATAAATTCAAAACACTGATATGACGTATTATTGATTTATAGTCACCAATAATATCTTATCAAAATACAAATGTGTTAGTAATGGGTTAAGTACATGAGATAGCAAGATTTCAATAATATTTATTACTGTAATACGTTGTTGAAAAAATATTTTTGAGTTAGAACAATGACTGACAAAAGTACCTATACATTCATTTATTTATTAATGTCACTGTTCTAATATCAATTGTACAAGATCACTCGAAAATGTTGGATGTAATTTTGTTGCTTTTAATGTTATCTGAATACTAATAAGTATGTTTTCATAAAGAAAAGTTATTTTGATAAAAAAAACAATGGAGCAACCGTTGACCAATCTCAGCCAGATGGACATCAAATGTTTTTTTCTTACACAAATTCCGTATATTTGGATGCATTTGGTTAGTCGGTATTACATAACACAAACATAAAGTTTGGGTGGTTTATTTTTAATAATTCAGGAGATGTGGCCACAAGAATGTGCCACTCGATGTGCCATATGGCTTAGAAGTGATTATGGATCTTAATTACTTACTTTCATAAGAAAAAGCAAATATTAAAACATGACAAATAAAAAAAGTACGCTAATCTTTTTGACAAGTCCTTGTTTGGTGCTACTCCCGTTCCAGTACTTCACCTTGGTAATAATGAATTATATAAATTATAGCATATTTAAACGTCAACGACTGAAAAAAATGCTTACTGTACGTAATAACATTTACTCAGCACTTGAAAAAAAATGGATTTTGTACCCTAATCAGACCGTTTGCAGAATACGAACGAAAAGTGAAATCTAAGTGAAATTCCTGAGTATCCTTTCTGATAAAATTTACTCGTATGACTGCACAGGGTGACCAAATTCGAAACTTTTGGAGAGTGTCTCATATTTTCTGAAAAGATAGGAAAAAAAGTAGTTGAGATGTTACAGGCTAGCAGTGGCGGATTCTAAAAACAAGTTTTGCAATCAAACAATTAAAAAAACATTTTTCTAAAAAAAAAAACAAAAATTTTAATGTTTTTTAATTTATTCTATTTGATCTGTGATTTTTTTTCAGACCATTTGGATCCGCGCCTGCAGGCTAGATTTTAGAGAAAAATTGAACGTCGAAAACCGCATCTCGATATCTTGATTCGCATAAGAGATACAGGGGGTTCTTAAATTTTGGCTGTTTTCTATGAAGTTCTATAACTTTTTTGAATGTGAACATATTTGATTTTTGTAAAGAAGCTATCTACCTTTCAAATGACGTCTCATACATAATATTTACACAAAAAAGTTATTTCAAGGTTTGAACGCCAAACATGTTTTTTTTTGACAATTAAGTGTATTTTGAAATGTCGATGAACAAAAAATGGGCAGTATCAAATAAACAATTGATTTACAGAATAATACATTTTTGAGTTCATTTCTTGTACTTAAAAAATATACGATTACAACTTAAAAACCTGAAATTATTGAAAAATATCGTGTACGCCACTGAATTTTACGTAATAGACTCTGTAAAAGGCGCCTGTAAGAAGGTAAAATATTTTCATATACAAAAAAATTATAACCCATCATAGAAAACGATCAAAATTGAAAAACGCCCTGTATTGAAAATCAATCCCGGGCCGTTTCTGAACTACTTTTGTTGTATTTTTTTGAGAAACAGAAGAAAAAAAAATTGAATTTGGCCTACCTTCTATAGGAAAGTGCTGTTATCTGTTTCCAGTTATCATTATTCATAAGAAATAACAACCTTTATAGACAAACAACTGCTTTTAGATAAGACAATGTTTATTTACCCTCCTATAAAAAAAATTCGTTGTTGGTCCCAACATAATTATTTTCCTGTTCTGGCAACCACAAAACTAAATTTTTCAATAGAAAAATAAACCATTTCCAGAAAATAAGATTACTAATTGTCTCTTATAACGACTATATTTTACAGGTGGATGTGGTATAGTAAAAAAAACGCGTGGACGTAATGAATATTCGGCTTACGTGATTGGAAGGCATTATGGTTTGGTGTTAAAGGTTAAATAATTACGGCCTGTGATCAACAAAAAGATATCAGCTCATATATTTACACATAAGCTGCGCTTTATCTAAAATCGCAGTCATGAGCTGTAATTATAACATAAGTACATACTATTTTACAAATGACCAGAAATCTGAATAGGTACTTAAATAAATTAAAAAAATTAAGTTCCTCAGTCACTTCGATGCTTGGTCTATTGTCGAAGTATTGCACGGAATATTGCACAATATTAATAGATACTTACATACAAATCAATATTACAGCAAAATATCTGAATTATTAAACAGTTACGAAGCACTTAATTATTCAGTTCAAGTTCAAAAGGCCATAAAAAATATGGGATTTATCCACGTGTAACGTAGTTTATTGATTTACAGAAGTTATAATGACGTGTTATTAGATGTTATTAGATGAATTATAAACTGAGAAGTTTTTCCGAGAAATATTTACCTACAGTTCAGAATGAAGTACATATCCAGAAATTTAATTTTTTTAAAATTATATTATACTTACTTACATATTAGTTTATTTGTTTTATTAATGATTATTGATTATTCATACGTTCAAACTAAATTTTAATAACGGGTTATATAACAACAACAATTATTTACTACACTTCTGTAATTATGTTTGAAAAGACAAGAACTGGTATTAGATAACCTTGCTAGAAAATTAACGCTATGGAAAAGTTAATCACTGCTAAGATAATTAAGGACAATTTTAAAAATATGTATCTGCATCTAGTAACAGCTTTGTCATTATATATAAAAATGAATTTGCCGATTTATGAATACAATAAATGCTATTACCAGTGTCTCTTTATCTTTAATATCATTTAGTTCTTCTCATAAAATTTCTTTATAGGTACTACACATCACACCACCATAGATAAAAAAAATTGTTCAGACTAGGTATACCCGAGGGTATACCAATGTATAACTGCATAAGTATGACGAATATGAAATTGTAATTAAATGATTATATACATAGTAACCTAGGTATAGGTATTACTTGTTCTGGTAGGTAATACCATAGTAAACAAACTTAAATACATGACTCTGCACTAATATTGCAAAATTATTTCAAATTAATTACCTATGCAAAATGTAGCTAACTTATTTAGGTAAATTTCTCACCTTGCACATCCAATAAACCTTTTGATAATTATTTGCATTGCATGATTTAGATATAAGAAAATTATTTGTGGTACAATAATTAAAATTCATCTAATTTAATCAACGAAATTTTGTTTGTAAAATAGTACAGAATGCAATGGCAACAATGCAGTGATTATGTTTCAGACCACCGTACGTACGTAATTTACACTTCGAAGATGCCCTCCTAAATACGTAATATATGTATTTAGAAAAAAATTGACTAATAAATAGTAATTAAAATTTGCTACTAAATACTAACCTAGAGTACTGAACAACAGCCTGACAACTGACATTAGGATGAACCTATAAACCACCGGGTCGTACGGTATGGTGCCTGTAGTGACATTATTGTATCCTGATGCGATTTTTTCGTACTCCTCTTCGCCAAAATTTGTTAAATCATGTTCCGACAGCTCCGTAAGGCCGAGTCCTATTTTTAAAATTTCGTCGATCACAAATAGCGGGGGCACTCTAAGCACTACTTCCACTAATCCCAAAACTCTCCCACGGAACGACATTTCATTGCATGTATTAGTATTTGGAATTTTCAACGTTTTACTGTATTTTTGTTTAAAGAACTTTGCAGATTGACAAACGTCATTGACAACTTGCCCTAACTTTCATTTTGGTTGGTAAAACAGATGATCCGACTCGAGCGGCATCTAGTAATAAACGCAGGCACTTTACTTGGACAAGCACAAACCGTTGATTGAAATATTCTGTCCTTCAATCAATGCACAAACTACTAAACGTTATTTAATGAAACGGTTTTGTATTTACTCCATCCCTGTTTATCTTTTTTAATTGTAACATATTACGTACGCGTATATTATTTGTAAGTACTATCATTTTTAATATTAGGAATTGTTTAGAACCTACCATCTATTAGCTATTAATGGAACAACAAAACGGCTGTGTCGTAGTATTCTGCATTTGTAAATATTATAGTGACCTAACTTACCACTGACTGTGCCACCTCTTGGAAAGTAACGTATAAACGTATATTTTTATTTTATGGTTATACAGTGACCTATATTTCAATTAGGTGCGCCACCTTTCGGGAAATAGACGAACTATGGTCTATATATCCAGATTTCTATTTTGATTTTTAAAATCACAAAGTAGATAGTTGTATTCATTCTAAGATGGCAGTAGAACAAAAATAATAGCTATTTTAAAATATTGTTTAGCTTAGTGAATACTTACATTAAGAAATTATTAACTTTGTTAATGATTGTTCAGTACAATTTGGATTGTAAAATGATATTTAAGAATTCAGGGAGGAAAAATTTATGTTATTTAATGGGAAAATATTATAGAAGCAATCCATTTTTCATCGTTCTAGGGACATTAATGACGAGTGAGGCTAAAAAGGCCTAGAAAGACTTTATGAGAATATTAAGCTAAATAGAGCTGCTCTCATGTTGATTAATACGTTATTTTGACAAGGAGCGGTGTAAGGCTATTAGCTAAAGACTCACTAATGATCTCGAGCGATGGCATATTAGTGTTTTCCAGTGCACATGTGTTCGGGTGAGTATTTTTAGTAACACGACGAGTAACAAACCGCTCATTTCTACATCGGAGTTTGAGAGGTGTCGTTTTTTAGGCGGCCCCCTGTCATTTTTCATACCTAAAAGCTACCAGCGGCTGCAAGGGTTAAAAAAAGTCCGCGACGCGTCCTGATTTACGGCGTAATGGATACCTTTCTTTGTTTGCGTTTTTTGTGGGCGACGTCAAAATATGTACGCGATAAATCGTTGAGTTGTAATCTGTTCCGTTGGATCACCAACAAAACGATGATTTAACATGTGCTCTGGTTTTTCGGACAGTGTTTACATTTATCTATGACTCGTGTTGCAGGAATCGCGTTTTAACAGCGTCATGTACTGAATTAAAAAAACAAGGATAAGTAGGAAAGTAGTTGTTGTAATCTTTATTTTCCAGAATTAATTTAAGGGCATTTTATTTATATTTCCAAAATTATCTAATTTTATGTAAAATAAATATAACATGTATGTGTGAACAACATTTTGTATGTGTGATAGTATTATTAATAATGTACAGAGTAAGTCAAATTCCATGTCATTTAAAGGATCTTAGAAATTATAAGCATAGAAAAGTTCGATGGTATAGTTGACCAAATCTAGAAAGATACATACCTTTTCTGCTTTCTCATGATATATAACACATATGAGAAATACTGGTAGTTTTATACAGGGTGTTCTACAAACTCTATGACAAACTTTGACAGGTTGTAGCTGGGTTAATTTCAAACATTTTTGCTTATATAGGGTGATTCCCAACTTATCCAAAAAAATTTTGGAATAGATGCAGCATGAGAAATGGAATCAATATCGTAAAAAAATTTTTTGTAAAATCCTTATAGTTTCTGAGAAAAAAAATATTGAAGTTATAGTACATTTAACCACTACATAGCTGGACAACTGTAGTCTCTAGTCATTCGCCACGTGGCCTCAGCGACTCCGAATACTGAATTCGGATTTTGCAATCGTCGTTGCGATATCTACTTGCTATCTGTGGTGTTTACAACAGGTTTTTAGTAGTTAGTGTCAAAAATGGGTAGTTTGTGTCAAAAATGGTTTGCGTGTACTCGGAGTTGATGGATATCGTTTTAATTTATGGTGAAGCATTTGTGTTATGGTGAAACAAGACAACATTTGTGTTATTTCGTAGAAACTGAGTACAACGGACCCAAATATGTTTACACATTGGCGGATATAATTTTGAACAATTGTTGTAACATCGGGTTTGTCAAATGATTTTATTATTTAAAAACACAAATTAATTTTATTAATTATTAAAGGCAAAAGCAGTTGAATTTGCCGATATAAAATAGGTGCGATAAAATTCTATTTACATATTTCTTTCCTTACGAAAGTTTTTGTCCGTTTTTATCACACCGCCATGCCGGTCGCATTGTGCGGGGTCAGGTTTTACAGTGGACCAGTTTCCAGTGCCGTGCAGAAGTGTATTTTTAAATCATTTTCGAACTGCCCTTTTTGATTTTTTCTTTACAAAATTGTATTTGTAAGGGTCCTCTGTACATCCAGAATTTTTTTTTGATAAGTTCTGAATCACCCTGTATAGGTCCGATTCGTTTTTGTTTAGAAATTACAAGCACTTTAAAAAAATATAATTTCATATTTCAATCAAAGTAGCCTGATACATAAAAATGATGGTTGTTATATAGTCTTTCCGATCTCAATTGAAGAACCAAGAGGTTGGCGGTATGTACCAGGTTGTATTTATTTAGCCGTACCCATATACAGGTCTGGTCGCCCTGTTGAAGAAGAAAGGCGCGCGAGCAAACGCGGTATAAACACAGCCGCACTGGGTGACATGGCCATAAATTCAGTTATCAACAAATGGCCTAGCAGTGCAGTGCAGCAATGCGAAATTTGGTGTGACTCTGGTAATTTTAATTTATTATAAGCACCTTCTATTAATCATTCATATTACAATTGGGAAAGGGAGAAATAAAAGGGATATTTGGTTTACTAATATTATTACGACAGACCTTTTGAAACGGAACAAAACGAAATTTACCACCAATATAATAAAATTGTTTGAGGACATAAATAATTAAATTATGTTGTTGGCCAAATGAACATAATAGAAATTTTCTACACATTATATACAAATTATTATAATTGTTTGCATTTAGCAGAAAACTTTTTTAAGAACGCCTATGAAACTCAATCAATTTTATTGCTATGCGTTTTTATACATATTCAACTGACTTCGGAAAGACTATTATTCTTTGTGTCATTTTGTTTATTCATTTGACACTGAGCCTTAAACTGCTAAATAAAAAATGCATTTATTTACAACTGAAGATTATGCAGATATTGTCTTTGCACATGGGTATTCCAAGGGAACTCCAGACAAGCAGACCGCAAATACCGACGAAGATACCCAAATAGACATCAATCATTTCGTAGACTTCGAGAAGAAGGTAACACCACTCCAAAAAAGGTCATTCGTTCTATTGAAGCGAATGCACAAAATGAAGAAGAAAGAGAGATGCTGTCATTAACAACTCTTCAATTGGTGTTCAGTGTATAGCAAATAATCGTCATTTATTACCGAAATTTGTATGGCATATATTGTACACAGAAATGCTACATCCGTTTCATCGCCAAAACGTACAAGCGTTTCATGCTGGAGATGCTGCTCAGCGATTAGAATTTTGTCGGTGGTTACTTCAACAACTTGAACAAAATGATAGATTCATTTCGCTTGTCATGTGGTCTTGATGAAGCGGGTTTTACTAGGGACAGCATAAATAATAATCATAATGAACATATCTGGGCGTTACAAAATCCGCATGCAATTAGATTAAGACGATATCAGCAACGTTTCAGTGTCAATGTGTGGTGTACCATTTTCAACAATAATTTACTTTAATAATTTGTTTTTTGTCATCATAGGCAATTTTTAAATGGCAACATTTCTCAAAACGCAAAAAGTTTGTTTCAATCAAATTTATTTTTTGTCATTGCAGCTAAATGAGGATATATTTCATTAAATGTGCGGCATGTCCTGTTCAGAACCTTGTTACATTCTCTGTGAATAAAGAATAAGTTTTAAAAAATCACTTCTTCCATTTTTAGGAACACAGAAACGCCAGCGAGTCTTTTTTTGGTGCTTTGACACGGCATTTATCATTTTGTTTTCATAGGTACCTATCTATGAGTTTTTTCCATGAAACATGATTTTTCGCACAGAAAAGTGATGATAAATCAGAAACCATCAAGAATAACTATAGCAACCCTTGTATGTACTGACGTATATTTTTCTAATGAATCCAGAAATGAGAGAATAAACAGGGTGTTCCATTAAAAAAAATGACACGTTTGAACTTCCTTGGGTTTGTCAATTAATTTTCAGGGCTCTGGCTAATTTTGAAAACATCGTAAGGAACCCCATGACATCTACTTTAATTGACCCAAAAATCGTGAGATTTTCGCATGAACTGTTTCTGAGGCATATACTTTTGAAGCCAACAGTGACGCGTGCAATTTTTTTAAATCGCCTTGTCTTGAAAAGGCTTATTTTAAATATGGTAAAGTTTATACAAAATGATTTCAAAAATGCAATCATATAAGGGTCTTCCATTTAAAATAATAAAGTTGTTTGGTGGCAACTTTCGGTATAAGCGGAAGTGCAACAGTTTTGAAAATATTTTCATTGAAAAGTTCATGGCTGGCAATCTGTGTATTCAAAGTTTCAACAAAATCCTGTCATGATAACTTCGTATCCTTCTAATGAACCAGTTTCATGAATATCCCTGTATATACATAAATCCTTAACTTTTCGAAGAAACTTGAAGTGATCAAAAAGTTAGTAAATGAATTTTAGACATATTTTTTATAAGGAAAAAATTTTATTGAAAAAAAAATGACAAGAAAAAATGTCATATTTCAACCCCTTATAAAAATACATATTCTTCAGGGTGGAAAAATTTCAGAAAGTGTAGTTTTTTAATTTGACAGATATTGTTCACTAGGTTTATTTAACTTGATATACATGGAAGATAAAAATGAAAAACTATTTTTTTTTTGAAATTTTTGTAGTGGCGTAACTTTTCAGGG